AGGAGAGTTTACTCTCGGTTTAGGGTTATTTCAGCTATTTAGAGATTATATTAATTAAATTATATCCCCAACTAAAATTTAACCTCGAACTATCGTTGAAATGGTCTGCTTGTTGTGGTATTTCCTTTGAACGAACATTCGATTTACGAACTTTAAACTGCCATTTTTGGTGGCGCTGCATCAGCGCCAGTCAGCGGGTTGGTCCCTAGCATTCGTAATAGAATGTTCTATAGCCCTGCGGCAACTATACGCGGGCTATAGTACTAATGCTATGGCGCTGGTGGCAAATACAAGGTTGCCAGGCAACATGTATATGGTTAGAAAAGTTGCAGTCCAACCTAGTCCAAAATGCTTCATTGTACTATTCATACCTGAAGAGTCTCTGTGAATCCCATTGCACCCGGAGAGGTCTCCACTCCAGTAGTACACTGTACACTGGGTATAACACACTGTACTGGGTATAGTACTGGGTATAGTACACTGTACACTGCGATAAATCAGCAAAACATTCTGACCACTCTGAAAAATAATGACTCCCTACGATTGTAAATTAAACTAATCATACAGCGTTTGCATGTTGGCATAAATTTGTTAACATGTACAGGAGTCGAAATTAGCGGTATCCCGATATCCGCGGGGTAGTAGATTCTTGTGTTGGATACCAGATTTCAATGCTTGGTATCTCGCCAGGATAGTAAAAAAAAATCGTACAAATCGGGATAGTGGTTGTTGAGTTATCAACTTTATACGGCAGCGCATCTGAGCGAGTGCGCGTGATCTGAGCGGGCGCAGGCCACGCTAGCGTTATACAGCAGGCATTATTCGCAAGCGCCAGCATAAATGTGATGTGTATACATTGTATCAAGCGAACTAGACAATGTATCTAGACAATACTCCTGTCTGCAGTGTACTGTGGAAGAGTATGTAAAATGAACGCGAGCAATGAGTTTCGAAGGCAAACAATTGTTAAAATTACTATCCAAACACGTTTACATACACACGCACGCACGCATGAATGCACGCAGGTGTACGTGCACACGCACGCACGCACGCACGTCTACGTGCACATGCATGCACGACTAAGCGATTTCACCGGTGATTTAGTCGCCCGATTTAATCGCCTAGTGTGTCCACTCGACTCGCGCGATAGAATCGGGCGATTTAGTCGCACGATTTAGTCGCCCGATTTAATCGCCTAGTGTGTCCACTCGACTCGCGCGATAGAATCTGGCGATATTATCGGGCGATAAAGTCGCCCAATTAAATCGCCTAGTGTGTCCGGCCCTTTATATACCAAGTAGGCCTAAAATGTGCAGCCGTGGACATGAATATATATATATATATATATGTTAGTAAATATTGCATTTTAAATATATAGCTATGTCAGAGCAGAAGCCTACTGCTTGAATCATAGAAATATAATAAGCGACACATAATCGAGAGCAGAACGAGAGCCTGTGCCACAGACTAACGGATACATCCGTATAACGGATGTACATCCGTATAACGGACGTACTAACGGATGTATCCGTTAGTCTGTGCCTGTGCCGCGGACTTCGTGCCCTGGCGGAGACCGTGGAAACCAGCGAAATCAGCGATAAGTATGCTCACTTGTTTCGGAAGTCGTAGAGGGAAAAGCCTGTTATGATCGATCGAGGTAACCTATGTTAGCAAATAATTTAGCATATCCTGCAAAAGTTATTCACTATATAAATAAAAACGGTCAATTTCCAGCGTTACAGTCTACTACTTGTCAACCTACTTACTCTGTATGGTATATATTTTAGTGTCCAATATCATAACGTTGTGTTGGGGCCGGGAAGGTTATTCTCTTATTGTTCACTGCGGCTCAAGGGGTCGTTGTCGTATCAGGTACTACAGTACAGATATGTACCCGAGGTACATATGTATACACAAAGTGTACCAGTCTTGTACTACAGAAGTGTACCCTAACCCTAACCCTAACCCTAGCCCTAACCCTAACCCTAACCCTAAACATACCTCATATAAAAATATAACCCAACCAGGCTGTGTGACTCACGTCAATATACACAGCCTGACATCCATCCATTGGAAAATCTTGTATCTCTACAAAAACTACCGAACAATTACTTATATCTCAAATAAAATGATCATATAAGCATTTCTGCCTTGTTTAGTATTAAGTATTCAACCTTCACCTTATAGTATTCCAGCGTTGTTATTAAAACTAATACCTCAGTTCGCTGTGCACAGTGTAAATTTCAAGAGCCAAACCAAATTTCACTTTCACCGCCAACCGCCATGTTTCCACTGCGCATGTTTTTAGATAGGAACGCGGAAAACCCGAAACGACATAACATACCATAGCGTTGCAACTCGCGTTGGCGCGAGCATAAATAAGCATCATATACTCGTATATATATAAATATTAAAACATTGAAAACCAGGAAACATCAATCTACAACAACTTTAATAATTATCATTGCGAAGATATGTACTTGCCTTGTGTTTAGGCCTGCGCACTGTGAAAATCAGGTCCATTGCCGACTTTAGTCGCAATGAACATGGCGGACATGGCGGCTGTCTGGTTGTTTTGATCCAATTCATCTCAGAAAATACAGCATAACTTGATAAATCAGTAGCGCCCAGTTACCACGAGCAAGCCAGAGGTTTATAGATTCGTTTGAGCTATTACATGTAACGCTAGCTGTGTCGATGTTTGGATACCGAGCCAACTACACGTTTTTATGGGCAAGAATTTGAAACGGTCCCCTAACCCTAGCAAGGACCGTTTCTTGGAGCTAATAAAAATATAAACATAGTACTAAACAACCTAAAACTACCTCGGTTACATATCTGTAGTACCTGATACAACAACGACCCCATCTGCTTCACTGCGCTCTGCCGAGTTTGCACTTGACTCCGCTAGGCGATAGCGGCTAGGCCATTCCCCCATTGGCATTGATAGCTCTAGAACTATAACCCTTCGCTCTGCCACAGAGCTATAGCACAAACTATGTTGAAACTGGGCAAAGATACTGCTCCCACGAGGAACTGATGGAAGAAAAAACGTGGGCAGCCTATCACTCGTGGGGGTGTGGGTATAGCACTGGCGCTGGTAGCTCTACTCTAGTAGTAGTACTAGTAGTACTATACTATACTATAGCCCGCGTACAGTTGCCGCAGGGCTATAGGACATTCTATTTCAAATGCTGGGGACCAACTTATTCACGGTTACTCGCGGCTATAAAACATCTGTGGTAGGCAATTAATGCCTCTTATCCGAAGTGAATATGTCTTAAACTTTAAAGGGTTAGGGTTAGCCTCTAGGATTTTACTGCATGCAACTGTACTTACTGTATAACAAATCGTCTATACCCACACGTATTTGTTACCAGATACCTAATTTAATTGTTATAATTAATTACACATCATCGCTACGAAATTTGAACGGCGCCATGACACCCGGGACCGTGCTGCCACCCCGAAAAAGTTGCGTATTTGACAATTTATTTTGCACGTTACAGACCGAGGGCTAATCACAAAAGTGCAATTATATTTATACCTAAATGCTATTTAACCGAACGATATTCATGCTGGGCAAATGGTTTTAGGGCAAATTTATCCATATTATAACTGAAACTATATATGTCGTTTATAAGATATATTACAATCCTTTTGCTTTTAAATGAATAAATAAGAAGCCTCGGTCTGTAGCCCTTGGCTGGAAAGTGATTTTGTGCAACTTATCAGATCGTGCGCTTTGAGTGGCGCCACCGTCGTTGTAATCAAACTGTAGTCGTTAGTTTTAAAACATTAAAAAAATTACGATTGTAAATTAAACTAATCATATACAGCGTTCGCATGTTGGCATAAATTTGTTAACATGTACAGGAGTCGAAATTAGCGGTATCCCGATATCCGCGGGGTAGTAGATTCTTGTGTTGGATACCAGATTTCAATGCTTGGTATCCCGCCGGGATAGTAAAAAAAAATTGTAGGAATCGGGATAGTGGTTGTTGAGTTATCAACTTTATACGGCAACGCATCTGAGCGAGTGCGCACGATCTGAGCGGGCGCAGGCCACGCTAGCGTTATACAGCAGGCATTATTCGCAAGCACCAGCATAAATGTGATGTGTATACATTGTATCAAGCGAACCAGACAATGTATCTAGACAATACCCCTGTCTGCAGTGTACTGTGGAGGAGTATGAAAAATGAACGCGAGCGATGAGTTTCGAAGGCAAACAATTGTTAAAATTACTATCCAAAAAATGGGATACCAGATCTTTGGGGGGATACCAGATTTCAATACCTGGTATCCCGAATGAATACCATAATAAAAATCTAATTTCGACCTTGATCATTCAAGACCATAAAGTTTTATTAAAGGCCTCCTTTAGTTACATACAAAATTACATACAAAATTTTACAGGTTACAGGACAAGGTACATACAAAATTAC